GGGACACACTGAGATAACATCATTCTCTAGTCTCCATCCTAGAATAAGGATGTGGCAGGTAGACTTTCTACAAGAACACCACAGCATCCTGGGGGTCAACAGTTGGGTTTCAGCACACACACTGACCCTCTATCCCTGCTCCCCGGAGGTCTAACCACCGAATCATGAGATTTAGCTGAACTTCCCTTCTTGTTCTAGAGAGAGCACCCCAGATTCAGGCAAATAACAGTTTCCTGCTGCTCTTCTAAACCACTTAGGACTAAAAGCACAGGCAGGAAAAAGAAACAAACAGACACACTGGACTTGATCAAAATTGACAACTTTCCTGACTCAGAGGACATGAGGGACAGAGCAAAGAGGCAATCCACAGAACGGGAGAAAATATTCACAAATCGCTTATCTGATTCAGGATTGATATGCAGAATATATAGGGAGCCCCTAGAACTCAATCACCACCACCAAACCCAATTAAAATAAAGGCAAAGGACTTGAGTAGCTATTTCTCCCAAGAATAGATACAAATGGGCAACAAAGAACTTAGGAACTAAATCGTGGAGGGTAATGAAATCTATTCCTCTCCTTGTGCCAAGTACAGCTGCTCCCCGGGTCACTCCGTGATCCCTGTCCCTCGTCTTCCGAGAGAATAGCCGTTTATCTGAACACTCTAAGTTGATTTGACCCTCACGCGCTGGCAAGGTCACTGTACTTTGCAAGGCAGGATCCTGGGTTCCACCCTCTCCAACATGCTCTTTTTGAGTTAAACCCAACCATATCTTTTCTACTTTCTTTCTCTTGTCCTCAACGAACACATCCGGGAGAGTTAGTTAAGATGGAGCCAACTCTATAGACCTGATGCCATCCCTGCTCTGTGTAGACCTGTGACTGTGCCCGAGCAACCTGGTCCAAAGGCTCAGATGGGGGGGACAGAAGGGAAGAATTTAAAACATCCCCTTGAAGCTCTGTACCAGAGCTGACTTCGGGTATGGAGTGCTTGCAAAGCTATTAATGGAATGTTCCTAAGAGTTCTATCCTAGTCCTGCTCTTTGCATCTGGAATTCTCTTAGGATCCCTACAGGAGGCAAGAGAACTGGCAAAGACTGATTCATGGCTCTCCTCTGCTCTGCCCAGACCAAGATACCAACAAAAGCACAAGACTTTCAACTTAATCTCCATTACATAAAAACCAATGGTAGAGGAAACTCTCACAAAAGCCCATCAGGGAGGGCACCCCAGAAGAAACTTAAATGCTCAAGCCATATCTTTCAAACGATATCCCAAGCTGGAC